GGCCATAGTCCCCATTCTGTAGCTAGAGTTGGGGATGTCATCTGCCCCTGATGTGTTGGGGTTTTTTTGTTTGTTTGGGGTTTTTGTTTGTTTGTTTGTTTTTGGTTTTGTTTTTAAATTTCCATGCTGCATGGATAGGAAACTTCAAACAGAGAGACGGTGCAGGGACATACACCAGAGCAGTATGGCACTGTAAGTGGTATCAGCTTCCTGTTCCTCTCTTAGGACAGAAGGCAGTTAACTGGATACTGCTGAGAATACTAATCAATTTATTCAGCATTAAATTTTGCATTAACTCTTCTACCCTTCTTATAACTGGATTTTTTCTGAGCTGCTCTGAAAAACATGGCTTAAAAAGTCATTTATAAATCTCACTTCAAAACCTGCAGCCACTTGGAGCATGAGTGGGAATGCTGACAGCTGAAGGAGCACCACCTGAAAAAGAGGGGAAAAATAAAATTCAAGCCAGAGCTGTACCCAGGCTGGATGCAACTGGCTGCAAAGTGTTTCAAACCTGCTTAGGATCCAACTGCTCTCAGCTCTTTTCTGTGGAAAGCAGTAGGACTTGTAGGTGTGTCAGAAGACAGAGCTAGGTTCTTGATAAAAAAGGAATAGGGAGGAAATGGTTCTTTATCTTAAACAGGCTTGCATTTATATTTTACTAGTAATGCAAGGAGAGGGGAAACCTACCTCTAATAATAGGCAATGTCAAAAGCCATTTTCCCTCTTTTGGCATGTTTTGATTAGCAGGACACTATATCACTCTTCTGAAGCATTATTACATGAGAAAGTCCTGTTTTATGTTGCTCTGATCCCAAACAGTACAAGATACGGGATGATCTAAAGTGCACTTCTGCAGTGTCAAGGGGTTGGGTTTTTTGATTTCCTGCAAGCCACAGGACATGGAACTTGGGCAACTCTTCGACTTATTTCCAGTGGAAATAACTGTAAAGTTTTCCATCCAAACTTCTGGAGAGTAAGCCCACATAAAGAATGTAGTCAAGAGTGCAAAAATGACTTAGGCCTTTGTTTCTGTAAAAAAGTACAATTCACAATGTCACCATTGTATTCCCATCTGCATGTATCTCAATTCTGTTTTCCTCTTTTTCGCTTCTGTCACGCTTATTTCTTCATTCTGTTCAACAGACATCCAGCGCGCCAAGGTTTGGGATCTCATCTGCAAATTAATGCTGATGCCCTTTGTGATGAGTTAACTGCTAATCTTATAAAATTGGAAAAGGTAATTTCCTATGGTGTAATGCAAATGCTGATACATTAACCAGGTTCTTGCTGAATTTTTATGGTCTGATATTTTGAAAAGTGATGATTTACCCCTAGACTTGATACCAGAAGCTGTTTTCCTAGACAAAGGACTGTTTTTTGGACTGTAAATTAGCCCAAGTACAAGCATGGGTATGTGTAAATGTTTTGCCTTGAGCTGAAGCCTACATCCAGGAATACTAATAAATTGGACGCTTCAGGGGTGCTTATTGTGTGTAATGATCTCAGGGTTTTTTTTGTTCATCAAGGCAAAGGATTCTGAACATAACCTTTATTACTGTTTGATGAAATTTTCTGTCTGGGGCTTTTGGTTGAGTTTTGGTTTTTTGATTAAGAAGAATGATGCTGGCTTTCATATGAAGTCAGCCTCTGCTATGAAGGGGCTGCAATCTGCCTGTTTCACTTTAGTAACACAAATGCTGCTGCACCAGTTGTGCAATTCCCTATACCTGACTTTTACTTTTTACCATTCTCTAATTGCAAAACTATATGCACTTGTTGACTTAAATGGTAAACCTATGCAAAGCAAAGAGTAGGCATGCAGACCTTTCACAGACTTTTCAGTTGGTGTCTACAGGATTGGACCCTTAAAGTCTTACCTTATATTTGTCAGATGCTCAAGACACAATTAACTGCTGTGCATACAAGCTAAATGAGCATTGCCTGTAGCTGCATGTTGCCACATCCCAGTCCTCTCCAATCTAGGTGAACAGTGGTCAGAACAGGACGTTTGACCATACCCCTACCCCTGTACAGCAAAACTGGTAGAAATAGAATAGCTTTACCTTCTCTGAGCAGAGTTACTGCAGTTGCTTAACTGTTTTGTATGCCCTAGTGAAAAGTGCTAGTGTTGGCTGCAGCTGGCTTCAGCAGCAAAGGTAGCATAGAAGTTCCAGTATAATGTCTTACCTCTCCTCTCACTTCCTGTGCAACTGCAACATTGTAAACTAGAGCACAGAAATTATCTAGGGTAAAAACTTAAAATTACTCCCCAGTTAAAAAATATTCATTGCAAGAGTATGTTGCAACAACTTTTTCAGTGTGGTGTTGCAATTTTTACAAGCTTTACTTTATAGTTGGAGCAAAGGAATTATCATGGCTTAGCAGAATTTTGCTTTGGCATTTAAACACATTTAACAGGTTGTTAAAATGCACAATATCTATCAGAGGATAAAGCGTTAAAATGGGGGAGGGAGAACATGGCCTAATGTTACTCATTCCCTTACTCTTATGTAGCTTACGAAAAGGAAATTCCTGTGCTTGCCTTAAATGACTCTTATAGAATTAGGTGCTTCTTATAATTTTCCATTCCCCAAAATGCCCCTCTTGAAAAAGGTGTGCATCGGGGCTGGGAATCATGAGGTAGAATTAAGAAGTTGTAGCCTTGAACATACATAGGTCGCACAGAACTGCCTAGATTGGAGAAGACCTTTAAGGTCATCAAGTCCAATCAACATGAAGTACAATGGCTCCTCAAATTTAAGTCTGAATGTAACTGTGACTACATGTAGCCAGTGGCTGCTAGTTACTACAATATGAAAAACACGTGTGCCAGAGGATGTGATCCACTGTATTCCTTGCTCCTTGCTTTTAAGGACAAGGAGATGAAAGGTGGTTAAATAGGCTGTGCAAAATAGGTCTGTGCAAATCACCTTTGAGGATGTGACTGTCTGGCATTCCCTTCAGTGTAACTAGGGGAAGATAACCCAAATCAATACACTAAATCTGGCAAATGGGACATGTCTGCTAATGGTTAGAAAACCTTACTTTGCTTTGCACGTGTCATAGCTGGCTGTGTAGCTGAAGCTGTTACAAAACTATTTGAATTATCCATTTAAACCTAAGAGCTTCAGCTTCGAAGTTTGTGGCTTTTATTGGGTTTTGACCCGGATCAAAAGAAATTAGTTTCTTGTCCCTTTTTTTCTAGCTCTATTTTTTTTCTATCTTATTTTCTCATACCTAATGAAGGAGAGCATCTATAGGAGGAAATTGCAGGAGATACTCGAAAAGCAGGTGTGCTGCTGGCTGATCATATGCAGATGTTTCCTTTGACTCTAGTGCAGAAAACATTTAATGTGAATACCATCGGTATGAATAGTTGTGACAGAATTAATATTCAAACAGAGAGTATACTGAAGAGTATGTGTTGATTTTTTTTTTTTTAATGCAGTTTAAAACTTCTTGCCTCCCAATTATTTTTCTCTTTTTCTAAGATACAGAACAACTTACAAAAGCTACTTGAAGATGGTGAATGAAACATTGATGTTCTTGGACTACTTCAGAACTCATTCTTCTCTCTTGTCAAACAGTTCCAACGGAGCTCTGCTGGCCAGAGTTCAAGCATCTTTATTTTCAGTCCAAGCCAAGCTTAAACTACTGTAAAGCTCATGTCATAATGCAGAAAGTCAGTTTATTCTTGAGCATGTATCTATATGTTTTGAAAACATGTATGTTTTTAATCAACATGTAGCTATATGTTTTGAAGATAAGGGGATTTTTTCGTTCTCTATTGTGTGTGAATTAATGGATTTTATAGCTTGCTTAATTCTAGACTTGCTTGCACCAGTGCAAACCTGGTGCAACTCCTTTTACCTCAGATTTACTTTCTGCCTATTGTCATTGAAATGTAAATGGGAAGTATTTCAGTCATAACTCATGTGCTGAAGTGTTATGTGAATGAGCTGGTACCTGTCTCAGCTATGGTTATGGACTGGTGCTGTGCTCTTCCTTTTTATTTATTTGTGCCTTGGCATCCCAAAGATCAGAAAGCAGACACTTCTGGATTTGGTTATATGAGGTTCTGAATGTTCAAGGTGTGCTTAGTTCTCAGGTACTCTAAAAAGGCTCAATTCTACTTTGTGTGGCATTGCATCACCACTGAGGGTAAGGTCTGTTTCTACGGGGCATTCAATTTACATTGAAGTCAAGCTTGAAATATGTATGGACTCACCAACTTACAATCAAGTTGCTTATGAATAGCAGTATGGGTGTGACATGTCTGCACAACTTAGACCTGCTAGGTTTTTTTGTCCAGTCATATGGTCTCTGTCCAGTAAGTTAATTGGTGTCAAGACCCTCAGTCAGCTTTCCTTGAAGTTCCATGGGATTTTGGTTGGCTGAGCAAGTGCAATTTGTGTTCCAGTTGGTGGAATCTAGTCTTGGTGTGAGACTCCAGGGACCAGATATTTTCACATATTAGGAACTTGCAAATTAATGATGCAGCAATACAATCAGTAGAGTGAATGAAAAATTGGACACTTGCTTTATTATATCATACTATTTTTTTCACAGTGCCTAAGATGTGATAACTGGGGATTTTAGCTTTCTCATTTCTGGTTAGTTTTTAAAAAGCAATATTTAGGATAATTACAACTAGTATCTGTAAAGTAACAGTATTGTTTATAATATGCTATGCATTTTATAACCATTTCTGTGAAATGTACCTACTTTGTTTAAATAAACTTTTTTAAAACAAGCAAGTCGGTACCATAATTTGGATGAACTCAATTCTATCTATTAGTTTTCGTCAAACATGATACTCATGATCTGAGTGGGCTCATACCTCATAGTACAGAGTTTGTGCAAATATAGTACCCAACACAAAGGGTTAGGAGCTGCATCCTGCTGATGTACTTTCTCTTACTCAGCTGTACTCAGGGTCTTCCCAGACTGCAACAGTAGGAGCAAATTTGTATCCCAGAGTTTTGAGAAAATGTTAATAGTTTTCTCAGGTGATTCCTCCTTGAGGGATATTGGTGAGTATTGCAATGTTGAGGCATCTGAGAGAGCACTGTGGGCTCTCTAATGTGCCCATCTGGCTCAGGTTTCCATCTGAGCATGGTCTGTCAGAAAACTGAGACTTGACTATTCTCCCTGTTGCAGCCTCTGCCTTTCCTTCCTCAGCTATCATGAGATTATTGTAATACTTAGTTTCACAGGAAAACTACAGAATTAATGGGGGGTTAGAGGGGGGTGGTTCATCTTTTTACATCCTTTTCCCTACTCTCCTGCCACAGTTACACAGCTTATGCAACATTTTGGACTCTGACCTCATCTTCTGGCTTCTCTACTTCCCTGCCTTTCTCTATCAGTAACAGAAGTCTGTAGTTCTGTTATAGTTTAAAAATTGATGCCTCAAGTCACCCTTATCAAAGGAACTTCAAGGAGACTTGATTATATCCAGCAGCTGAACTGAGTCAGCCTATTACTCTATTACATCAGCAAGGATGTGCTTCGCTGTAGGAAAACACAAGGAGAGAGGATATTTGGCACGGGCCTTATGTAAAGCAGGCAGGCTAAAGCCTTATCAGAATACACTGGAGTGAACGAGTAATCAGAGGTGGATGTGTGGTCATTAGCCTGTTGCAGCAGCTACAGGGAGGGTTGTCTGGACAAAGGTGTGACAGCATCTTTCAAAGGGAGGTGCAAATTACACTCCAGAGAAAGAAGTGTCACTTGGTGCTTGTGACTCTGTGGTCACCTGAGCTCACCAGTGCCATTCAATGTGGCCACCTCTTCTCTGCTCTTCAATTGGTACCCTTGCTCTTCCTTTTCCTAGAGGGAGGAGGAAGTCTTGAGGATGCCGTCCTGTTCAGAAGGCTGTGCCCAGCTGGGCAGTGTGTAGTGCTGCCATACTTCCAAGCTGGGAGAAGACAAGGTGCATGCAAGACCTTGTGGGGAGGAGTTTAGAAATGTGAGTTGAAATAGTTTCAATCCTGCAATTCAGTCTTGTGACTAAAGAGGAAGAGTTTGCCCCAGTCCTGTTTGGGAGGGAAGTAATTACCAGCAGTGAGGAGCACAGAAAAGCTGCTTCATTCGAGGCTCAGAGTCAGCCAAAGAGCAAGGGGGCTTCTCCCAGCGTCTGTGGTAGGTAGTGCAAACATGGCCACGAGGAGGGGTTTTGCTGTTTGGCAAAGGTGAAGGGCTGGTTTGCAGAAATAGGTGGGAAGGATGTTTGACTTTGGGGAAGTCAGAAATCTACACCAAATATTTGGCACACAGTGTTAATAATGATCACTTATAATTTGCTGCATAGGCTGCCTGAAAATCTGATTTTAAATGTCGATTTTCTTACTTCTTTTAGTTTTTCAAATTTTGTCTGTCTGTTGTCCCCCACAGCATAGAAACTGGAAAAACAGCTGGGTTCCACCAGCTGTGAAGGATCCAGCAGTAGTATCAGGTTCTGGCAAGTGCTTTGAAACTCCAGATGTATGGAAAGCAACAGGGGCACATCACTAATGTTTTCTCTAGTTGTAGTTGGTGACTCGATTATTTTTTCATAACAGTCTTAGTCCACTCTTCTTCAGTTCATGTGAGTGCTTATTCTAAAGCAGGAAAAAAAAAATCAACCAAAAAAACAGCTGCTTGATTTTCTTTCTCAGAAAATTAATTTTAAGGAAAATCCCAAGACACTTTGGCGGTTGTGGGTAGGACTCATACACAAGACCTGACTTTTCCACATACATTCTGCCAGTCTTCAGCAAGTGGAACCCTTACATCCTGGCCTGGCCTGGTTAGACTAAGCGTTTTTCTCCATCTCCGTGGTATAAACGTCTACCAAGTTGCTAATAGTTGCTGAGGTGGCAAAACATGGAAGTATGTTATAGGAATGATTTTCTGATGTTTCGGAATTTATCTCTTCTCCAGGCTGCTGTCAAGAGGAAGAGTGCTTTCCATTTCTCCCCTCTTCCATATTCCCAGTTGATATTTTCTTGTGCATTTTCACAGACAGCAGAACAGAGGGGAAAAAAGTAATATGGGTTTGGAGAGGCTGGTTGGGTTGAAGCATTGTTGAATTGTTTTCCACCAGATTAGTTGCCTGAACTGGCTTGTGCTGCAGGGTATCAAGTTGACGATACTGTTGGTGTGAAGGATGCAGCTAGTACTCCAAGAAGGCTTATAAAGCCCCCTCTTAGCAGAACAAGGAAGGTAGTAACTCCTGTTAGCAAATGCAGAAAAGACAAGCAGCTTTCTGTGTATGTATTTGATTTAATACTGTCACCGCTTTCACTTGAACATTCATGCAAGTGTGTAGTAAATGCTCTCTGCTTCCTGCTATGTGTGCACTTTGATTTCCACGTTTACGGCTCATAGTCAGCTGACAAATGCCAAATAAATCTCCAGGTTGGTGCTATCCAGGCCTGTGCGGGCTATTGCTCATCTGGTTCAGCTGCAGCTGCTGGTGAGGTGTTACTCCCAAGAACATAGGAGATTTTGCATTTACAGAACAGGTGCGACATGCAATAAAGATCATGAAAAAGCTGGCTATTTAAACAGAAAACTGAGCAAACAGTTTATTTTGTGCTCAGTGTCTCTGTGTGTGCTTCTGTAAACAGCAGAGGAATAATGTCGTTTGAAAGGATTTTGCCGGCACCTGCTTTCACTTTGGCTGGTGAGACTATCCAAGTCTGGCATGCAAATTTACTCAAGTGGGAAAACTGACTAATCTCATTTGACACTTCCAGGTTTATGGTCTGAACCCCACGGAGCTCTCTGCTAAATGTGGTTGGATGAAATGAGATTTTACAAAAGGAATAGGGTTTTTTGCTTTTTTGGGTTATAAAAACTGTGTAATACAGTTTTATGATTGTAGAGCTTCGTGATAGCCTGTTGTTCAGCAAACAGCCACAACAAAATACATGCCAGTAAATTTAATTTGGTTTTGTCTTAAATTATTCCCTGTTTATCAGTAGCCTTCCTGGACTTTTAACAAAAAAATCAGTCAACTGCATATAATAAAATAATATACACTATATGCACTAACTCAGCAGCACTTATGAGAGTTTATTCCCTGAGCTTCACACAATGTTATGATGCCTATCACTATTCCTGCCCAAAATATAGGCATTTCACCGATACGTGCGTAGTTGGTTTTTAGACCTTCTGCCTTTCCCCCTGGTGGCTTCTGCTGACCCTCAAGTTTTCCAAACTGTCCAGTGATACTGTGCCTACTCAGCTTAGATTAAATCTAAAATTATTTGGCTGACTAGGCCTACGTCCATATTGCAGCATGGTTAGGAGCCTTGCCTGCACCTGCAATTAGTAGGATCCATAAAGGGAATGAGCCCAAGAAGGAACTGGTTAGAAAAGTGCTCCAAGAGGATACCAGCGGGATTGATATAATAGTCAGAAGCTTTGATCTTTCTTCTGTACCTGGTTTCATCTCTATTATAATTTACAAATGAAAGCTGCAGCATCTTAGCAATTAGACTTTGAGTAGGAATTACAGACAATCATGTTAGTGAAGCCTTCTCCA